TGTTAATGTATGCAATATGGCAGCTGCGTTCCTTGTCATCCTTGCCCCCAAACGGCAAAGCAGACTTTGACGTTTTCATCAGAGGCCGAATTTATTAAAATATATGAACAATGATGAAATTAACGACATGTTCCGCCTGTCAACCGTGAGAAGAGCAGCGGTTGAAAGGGTGGTGGGGAGCCTTTACGACGATCTCAAAGGAGTACGTTCCTGTTCGGTTCAGCGGCCAAACGAAAGAACTAGCGAACGGACTTTACGAGAGAACACAGAGATAGATGAACGGTTGCTTCGTGAAACACCACTCGAAAATCGCTTAAGTCTTCTCATTAGCGAGATAGTTCTCTCGTTATTTTAACAGGTGACTGGTTTATTCTCTGAGGTCAATAACCGAGGTTGCCTTCGCAGTAACTCTCAGCTAAGCACAGCAAAGAATGATCCTGTTTTGTTTGTCCAATCAATAATGGTAGAAGGTGAATTGATCTCATAAGTTTCTCTATTGAAAAGTGGCCTCCAATTAGCAATGTTAAGGACATAGACAAACAGTCCTTTCTCGCTCTTTCCAGATTTCTTCTTGTTAAAGACTTTTCATGGGCTGTACAAAGCGAGTTACTCACTTTGAAAATAACTCAATCATCACTGGTTTTGTTCTTTGATATATCTCCTACAAGTATTACGTTGTAATAAATTATGATTTTCTTCTATATAGAGCAGTTTATTGTTTTTGAGGACCTAAGTTTGCTTGTCACTGAATAATAAATAACATGGAAAATACACCCTACCGACAGTAAGATAAGCATTTCAATTACCATATTTTCCACTCGTGATCCAATTATTATATCAGGAATGTCAAACTATCATGGAATCATAATATATTTTCCGTCAGCAACAGAAAACGCTGTTTTCCACTGCACCAAGGACAAAAAACTTTCTGATAATTTTCTGGGGAACATAAGGTACGTAGTATTAGCCATGAAGCAAAGCCTCTTGAGTTACACTTTTTAAAGTGTTAAAAATATTTATAAAAAAACATCCTTACGTCATGTTTAATTTACCATGGCTGAATTACTACAAAATATATCGGAACGCGGTATAAAAAATAAAATTAAATGACCCGGAACTTTACTTTACCGGAACATACGTTACCATTTGGGGCTCTTTGCGTAATATCAAGACATGGTAAAAATAAAATTAAAATTGAGACAGTCGTGGGTTTTTGTTCTATCCACACGTTTTACAAAATTGAATACAAATTTGAATCTATTCTATTTTATTTTTGGACACTTCAGTGTGTGAAATGCACCTCTACATGTAAATTGGATTTAGGTCTTAAACGACCTGGTTTGATTTTTCCGGTAAAGCTACGAGTGGTCTGTGCGCCCACAGAGCGACCTGTCTGCCTCCCCTGTGCAGAGTACGGCGTCCATTGCAATGTTTGAGCGACTGTTTAGCATCCTCGTTCCATTCTACGATCTTTCTGCCTCCTGCAAGACCGACTGTTCGGAGGCCTGGAGTGGTTGTTCATTTCCTGACTCTTTAAATTTTTTCATCAGTTCTAACCCGGTCAGCTAATTAATAACATCTCCAGAAAAATTATAAGTAAAAATTACTTTGTAAACTACAGTAATAAATGTACAACGCCTGCACACACTGATAACAAGCCAGAGGTCGTTGTTTTCCTAATTATAAAACTGGACAGGTAATAAGCCATGAACCAGGTGGCCCTCCACTGACTGACACAACAAACGTTTCAACGACTCTCAAGGTGCATCAATATATATACTTCTAACGACACTGCAAAAACTTGTGGTGCGACAGAAACTGCGTCTTAAAAAATGACACAAATTTTCTTTCTATTATTGTTTCCGACTAAGGGTCTAGTCGAGAATTTAGGGAAAATAAAATACTAATTGGAGTGATAAAAGACCACCTGTATATGTAGCTGTTACCCTTACACGTCACCTTTTGAGAGTTTAAAAATAATTTTGGGGCATTTATTTGAACACTCAGTGGTTTTTACGCCTTTTTATTCTACCCTTGCGTGACCTAACAGCGACCAACTTCCACCGCGTCATTTTTGCGATGGTTTTGAATATGTGCACAACTTTGCAGCGACCATGGCGTACACACCGACGCGAGTACATGTATTTTAAGTTCAATCTTACTGATCGCTATGGTGGCCCCTATTGGATATTTCGACTTTTCGAGTTTTCGCTGTGCCTCCTTTTTCGCGTCCAACGACGACCTGGCCGAGGCGAATGGGTCACAAAAAGGACACCTTCCAGTGTAAAGGGGGTTTAAATGCTTTGAGGTTTCGATAATGCCATTCACATTTGAGGCATGCTTTCATGCGTGAATGCCCGTTTAATTGCAAGTATTTAAAAGTTTGCTACATACTGATGAAATAAATAGATAAATGAAAGCTGACACATTACCTGTTCAAAGTACCTAGATCCATTGCTGTAAACCAAATGATTGCCATTCTCGTCGGATTTTGCGTCAACATATTCACATAAATCTTCCCCCAAATCGTCTTTAATGTAGTTGAACCCCACACAACGGGGTGCATTCGCCGTGCACTCGATGGCACACACGCTTTTTACGGACACAAATTGCTGTCCATATACGTTGATATTTGCTACGTCTTTCCTGCAGCTTGGAGGGGTGACGTATCTGTACATATTTCTAGAACTTTTATCCCCAAATGCAATCCAAACGGCCGCGAGCATGAGGTGTAAAACGCAAACCATGTTCAGAAGCATTTGATGACAGCTAGAATACAACACTTGTACAACAACGGCAATTAATCAGTCCTTTTGACAGGCTCCCTGTGATCGGGTCATTACTGAGTTCATTGAACTATTAAACACAAATCAACAGATTACAAAACCGATTATTGCCAGAGACAACTCCAAAACAAAACCAATACTCTTTCGAGAATCAAAATCAAATGTGTTCTGATCACAGTAGAAAAATCAGCACTAGAACATAGATTTGGACAATCTTATATAAGGTTTCCTTAATCAAATAAAATAAATTTTAGTCATTTTGCTAATTGTGTTTCTGAACCATTAATAATCCATTGTGTGTTTTCTGTTACCAATGACACTGAAATAGAATCCTCTACCAAGGCCACATATGTTTTTTTCGCTAGATATTCACATGTGTTTCTCTAAATATTTCATGACACAATTCTCTGCTTTGACCTTGTTTTGAAGTCTCCTAGGATAATTACAGGATTTGTAATTGTTTGCATAGGCACTGTCAGTTAACGAGTTCTTGTCATATCCTTCTGTGTGTAGTTAGGTAAGCTATTTGCTCTGACCTTAATTGCCTGACTTGCTGTTGTCGAACTCAACTGTCATCAATATATACAATCCCTTCTTTCTTGATAATGGCATTTGCTTTTCTCTATATATTGATATTAAGTGTGTATCCATGATAGGACCAGTCAGAGGGTGGCAAGGTGGGGGTCAACAGATTTCAACCAAATTCATAATATTGTTGCATATATAGGAGATATTAAGATTGAAGGCAACAATCCCAAAAGAAAGCATTGGATATAATTATAATATGATATTATATGTTTTGGCCATTTTTGGCTCGATTTTCAGCTTCGGTCAATAAAGCCACTTCATAAGCAAATATGTCAAAACTGATGACTTTTTAAAATTAATTGAAATTTTACTTATTTAAACCAGTCATTTGCCATTGAGAATATGTTACTAAATTTCAGTTTTACCCACAAACTTACGAGCCACGCCCATTTTTATAACCCCACCCCCCAAACTCATATTTCTACCAAGCAATGTTCAAGCGTTCATATCTCTCTTTTTGCAGGGTTGACAGCCATAAAATTGTATAGGGATCCTAAGCATATATTGTTTTCATTATACAAATTTTAAAAAGTGTGTTAAACACAACAGAAGATATTGAAAAAGTGCCTCAAACTTTAGCAATTTTAGCAGAAAACCAAATGGCCGATATTAAGATATCAGTACATTTTGAGATAATACCTTCCAATAATCAAATTTTATCAAAGACTCACGGCCAGGAATTCAAACTGTGCTTTGATAAGGGCAAATCTATCAAATTTTTATAAATACAAGATGGCTGCCATCAATTCTGTCCAAAATACAGTTACCCTAATTCCTCAAAATAATCAAGAGGCCCATTTTTGCAGGTTTTTTATTTTGAGATCTGTAATACAGGATTGCTCAAATAATATTCTTTTCAAACAGAGCCATACAACTTCTGAATAAATTTAAATTTTTTAGTGACAAGTTATTCAACCCCCCCTCCCCCATTTAATGAGTTATTACTGTGCACATCCAATGTCATCAGCATTGTGTATATACCTTATTTTCAGGGAGCAATAGAGAAAAAAAATACAAAGGATTTTTCTAAAGGTAAAAGGGAATGACTGTCTCCTTTTATCAGTTTTCTCAGGTGCATCACTAATTAATCCACTTGAAATGATTTATATTGCATTTTTTAACCATTCTTTTTCCTTTCAAATGATTCATAGGCTTTGTAAATACAAGTGATATCTTGATATCTATATTCTTTTTCTATAAAGAAAATTAAAACAGAGTCAGCAACATACAATGACAGGAGGAGTACTTTATTTTCATATTATCAATTGGACAGTAAAAGAACAAAGCAGTTACTTTTCACAGGAGTGAAATCAAGTTATGAATCTCCAAGGTTCCAATATCACTGTCATCTTTTCCATATACTGAACACAACAGTGATCAGGGGCGTAACCAGACCTTTAAAAATTGTACGCACTTGTATTTCTTTACTGAGGGGGGGCAGAACAATTGTGCCTTTACAATTGATACAGAGGATTTGTACATACAGGTGACTTCAATAAGCAGAGGATTTTCTTTTATATTCCGTGAAAAATACACTAAATTTATATAAAATAATATCATGGTTGGCAAAAAAATTGTACGCACAGTGCATTCGTGCGTATGCCTAGTTACACCCATGGTGATGGTTAGTGTTCCACAGATTTTAATCTTATAACTGATTGATCCCCAAGTTTCTTCTTCTGGTTGAGAGATCCAGGGTCTCCTACAGTAATGATAATTCAGCAATCTTAGAATAAGTGTGGTAACTTGAAGCAACATGCCACTATAGTTTAGTGTGACTAAACTGTCAATTGTCAATATTTGTCAATTCAGTGGTGCCAATCCTCCTTTCCTACAAAACTGACTGAGATTGCCAAGCCTAAGATGCACATTTGTTGTGGGGGATTGTCCCAAGGTGGCTCTAAGTCCAATAAAGGTTTGCCAGGATATCCACTACTGCGTCTACCTGAAGATGGCAGGACAGGCTGTCAAAAGAAAATGTATTAAACATATTTAAAACTTATGTTAATTGCTGTATAAAAACAATGACTAAATAATATACTGATCAAACATATTGCACAAGTAAAAACAATTATTGAAAATGAAATCAAATATGCATGATGTAGCTACCAGAATTTCATGATAGAAAGACAGAGTTGGTGCTCACATCTGAATCTGATGAATTTGCCTGTGCAATTTCAGGTGACTCTTCTATTATTGTCTGTAAGATTGTCCAGGTCAAGGTTCACATCCAGGCCTAGGATGTAAAATCTGAAAAATAAACATAACATCAATAAATGTTTTACAACAACAAAGGCTTACTGTGTTCAGAATAGAAACTACCGTAGCAGGATCAATCCATCTCAGCGGAGTATCACACTCAGGATCAGTCGTTGTAATCAGCTAAATTGTCTGGCACACCCCCTTGCAAAGCAACATGAACAACATAATGGACTGCAAAGTTTTCCTGATTTTACTAAAGTACTTTTAGTTGTACAAGTGTACTCTTGAAAATTGAAGCACAGTGTGTTACAAAGTCACATAAAGCTAGGTGGTTAACTTCGACTTCATTGTAAACACACATAAATCTGAAACTAAAACATAAAAAACTGGCACAAGTAACATCCCCTAAAATGTCAAAACTTGAAACTGAATGTGTTACATACCTTTGATTCTGGGTAAGAAATTTCTAATGAAGCTGTCTACAAGCTCAGTTGTCCTTAACTGTTTGTGTTATGATAACACATGTAACAAAGCCCTAGAATTTAATGCACAAACATACTTCGTAAGTTAGATACACAGTTGATTCTTTTCAGCAGACATATTTACCATGAAATAGAAATCAAGTAAAATTCTATGAATTGAAATATACAAGTACATCTTTTAATTCTTTATATAACTTTAAAATATTCAAACTTATTATTCAAACTGGTTTGAGTTTTTAGTGTATCTGATTCTAGTATATGTATGCCACCACTGGCCAACAACAACAGGGACCAGGGTATTACTACATATAGAAGACAGTACCTGAAATAGTGACAGAACCGACTTTGTCTGTTTATATATATATATATATATATATATATATATATATATATATATATATGATCACTTACCTTACAACAAACATCCAGAGGAAAATCGATGAGGTGGATATATTGAGGAACCCAAGCCTGACAACAGTCTGAAGTGGTTCAACAAAAAAATAAACATTACATTCTTAGGACGACCAGCTGCCATGGTCATTTCTTGTGATATTCTGGTGCACACCAATCCTTCTGAGATGTACCTAAGCATCTCTAGTGCTTGTTCTTCATAGAATTAAGAAAGCATTATGTTTTCACACTGTAAAGACGATGTGATTTGCTCCACAGTTGCTCCGGTGATAATCCTAGTACCCGCCATGTTGAAAATAGGTCACAGAGTTAGCATTGATATTTTACATTTAGTTTCTACAACATAAACAAATTTAAAAAATGTATTTTTGCTTCATAAGTTTGTCTGCAGAGCAAACATGATTATTTTAAGGGCTTTTCACAAACCTATACATGGTTTTGACTTATTAATTTAGTTGAAGAAACACTTTAGCATTTAAGTAGTATAAAAATATTCGTTTTTAGGCCCTTTTTAAAATTGTTATAGTTCTAATTTTACAAGGTTTAACACAGATTTTATTTCACAAAATTTATTTTTCAACCCTTTTCTATCAGCACATACCAAAATTATATGGATACAACCTGCAAAAAAGAAGTTGTGTGCATTTAAAGAAGGGGAGGGGGTCAAGTATACGGAAAACATGCCTAATTAGAATCAACCTTGTGTGGTCATGACAGTTCCTTTTCGAAAATTCTGTACTGGGTATTAAAGGTCTTTCCTTAACCTATCATGTGGCTTACCTAAATAATTCCTTATGATGTACATGATTTTTTAAAAGAATATTTAAAATTATAACTTTTCAAGAGCTAAAAAATGCTATATTTTGGCAAAATTGCCAATAAAAGAACTGCCCCCGTATCTCTAAAACTAATGATCCAAAATAAGAAAGCCAGTGGCTCACAATATCTTTCATGTTGATGGTTTACCACACCAAAAATTATTAAAATCTGCTGACCCCCACCTTGCCGCCTTCTGACCGATCTGTCTGGCTTTCTCATGGACGCGCTCTTAAACTGAATAAGTGGGATACGATGATAAGCTAGTCTTCCGCCATTTGGTTTATAACTGATGCTCATGTAAGCAGCGGTGGCACCTTTTTGGTTTCTCATTTTGAGAAACTTTCAGCATCTCGGAATATTGCTTTTACAACCTACAGGTAAACCTGCGCATTTCATGGGGCGTGTGTATTAGATACACGAGTTCCAGAAAAATTTTAGACTGTTTTCATTGGACAAATATGTTGCAATTTATCAAAACAGGACAACAGTTGCATAATTTCTTTGTAAAATGCTTTTTTACGATAAATGTTTTTATTATGTAAATCTGATCTTATTGCGCTTATTTAAAAAAATATTAAGATAAATCCACCAAAGTATTTTAAATCATTGAATCCAAAAAAAAAAATTGAGCCTCAAAATGCTGGCTTGTAGCTATCTTGACCTGCTATAAGACACATAATCAGATATACATATAAACTGATTATGGCAGTTGTGGTGTTTGCAATTCAGTGTTTGGGGAAATTGCATCTAGTGAGCTAGAAATTTTATACAAATAAACCCGGTGTTGAAATGTGTTCTGTGCTTTTTTGTAAAGATCCATTTTGTTTAGTTAAAACCATGATTAACAAGACATGTCATTCAAAAATTTATTTACTCTGAACTTGATCATGTTTACAGAAACGTTATAGCCTGGTTAATGTCACATTGGATATATTATTTCTCCTCTAGTCTAGTGGAAGGAAAAATGGACATAAAGATCGATTTCGATTGTATTGTTTTCTTATAAGTCTATGGATTGATATATGCCGGGTACTCCTCAATGGCGGTAACAAACCCATCGCCATCAACCTGGAACCGATACACATGTGGACTCGGCAAATCCACCAAATATGCTTCATTGGGGTTGTCAACTTTCCTCGTGACATCTTTGGGGACACTCACCGCGACGATGTGATCCTTGGGATTTCTTTCGAGGGTAACTTCATAATAATATATGTTACCTGAATGGGTATGCATCCAAAATCGTGAAGTGCCTCCACCGAGAGAGTAGTACTCAACCAAGAACAAGATTTGATTTATGGACTCTTTGTATGATGGCGTACTAAGAAAACGTTCGACAGCAATGTCCATCAGCATCTTGGAGTCCATAGAGAAGCATTGGGCGATTGAAGCGAAGAATTCCTGGGGATGAGTAAGCCCAACGTAGCCTGGGTTAGCATTAGTGATGATCTGATATTGGTACTGAGCAGCTTCAGGAATGAACTGTCCATTGAAATAGGCATGTAAAATCGAGTTCCAATTATCGGAACCGGGATTAAACCAACCTTTGCTTGCAAAATGTTCCTGCGTTTTTGTAGAGTCGTAGCGATTGTTATCCTGCCAGAAAATATCCGGACTACCTTGTAAGGCTCTTTTCATCAACAAGAACCTCTTCGCATTCACCCCAGGGTATTCTACGAAGTTGTGACCAATTTCGTGAGCAACAACAGAAACAAGACCGTTTCCCACCGGATTGCCATGCGTTTTACATACCTTACAACCAGGTAAGATGTGTTTTCTCGTCGAGCTGTGCTCATCGTTACAGAATACGTTTACTCCACCCTTTCGCACCTGCCTGTAGGTATATCTGCTCCCGTCAATGCCGCTTAGAGCACATTGCTTACTTATGCGCTCAATCCAGAAGTATTCAGTTCGCAGGGACAAAACATAATCTCTCAACAGGCGATTGGCTAGTTCTGAAGATTGGTCATTGTCTATCAACATAACTCCCCTCTCAACAAGAACGTCCTTTAAACTTCCTGTGTGATTACTCACTTCAGCCAACCCGAGTCGATTACTTCTCGTGTCGTCCCTTCCTTCCAACATTATTATCCAGGTATAGAAGGAGAAATGGGCTAGGTATGTGGAAGAAAAACGTTGTCTGCTCAAGTATTGTGGGTATTTTTGCACCAGAGCTGCGAGTGTGTTGAAAAAATATTCCTTGAACGACTCTGGCATAGGCAAGTTGGCGATCTTCAACAAAGCATCCTGGTGTAATTGCAACTTCTCACATACCTGATCATTGCTCTCCATCACTGATCCAAGGTCTGTGCTGTGCTGGCTCAGTATGGCGGCAATTCCATCAACGTGGTNCTGTTTCATTATTCAACAAATTCTTCCTTCAGTTGGTTATATCTGGACAACAAAAATCTTTGATTAGGCTATGACAAAATTAAATTCACGCATATGCAAACTGAATATCTGATTCAGGGGAATGCAACGATGCCGTAGACAGAGACACTTATGCAGAAGTCGTTTGTGGGATGACAGAGAAAGGGATTGTTTGGAGGAGCTTCCAGAGTTGTGCGGCAGCAGGAATGGGCGTGACTACAGTTAGCACATATTTTAGGTAAGCTCGGATGTCTGTATTCTCTGATGTAACAGGGGTCTCTGGTAAAGCCTGTTACAAAATTGAAAAAAATCGTAAAAGACTAGTAGGTACCCCAGCGGTAAGAGAATAGGATATCTGTGTATTTTGGCGGCAAGGGGAGGGGCGTGGCCACTGACAGCTGGGAAGGGCATGGTTTAGTTTTGTATGGCAGCTGGCATGGGCGTTCCTCTATAAGTTGTGAGTGTGAACTGACATTTTGTATTGGTGTCTGGTTTCTCGACTGTGTCACAAAAAGTCTCAGCAAATCCGCCTTGTGCTTATAAAAGCTGTTCAATGAAAACGAGGGCTTTTTGGTATGATATCAATATAGAGTATTTCAAAGTCACTTTCTTTAGTAAATGAGAAGCAATAAACGTTCGTTTTAAACTTCAGAAATGGTTGCAAGGATTTGGTGATAAAGTCTTTACCAGACGTAGCTAAAGCTAAACACCTAGCGTGCAAAATCCTGGAGAAAATGGCCAACGAATGTGTCAGTCTGTACGGGGCGAATGTCTCGGATTGGCGGGTTGAAACCGGATGCACTCTGACCACGACCCCTTTAACCACGCCCAAGACAGCCACACCTACGCTTATTAGTACTACCATAAAAGCTTTGTCTACCGCTAAACCAAGTGGTAAGTCTGACGATATTTGTATATTTTAAGATGAAAGTAAGTATTAGTCCTTTTGTCGAATGCCCTAGACCAGTAATGTAAGCATTCCTACTCAGCCTGCTAAAACTAGAACTATCAGCCATTTTTGACCTGATGATACTCACTATTTATTTGTTTATTTTACTTCTCAATTACCAAACATTAATTGTTCGTGCTTTTATTATTTAGTCATGTAACGCATTTCTTTCCATATTTCAAAGATAAACATCGTTTTTATCTAGTAAGGAAGCCAATGTTTTACCTAAAAAGAAGTAACCTGCCGTTCATATCTTCCTAGTAATAAATAAATATTTGTTTATGCGCTTTGTCAATTCATTCGGGGAGTGAAAATATGTTAAGTAACACTTTTGAGTTGCTTGGCAATTCATGATATCTTTCTTGATGTTAGCTGAAACTAATGAGCATCTCCACATTGTATGTATACTCTGTAAACCTAAAAGCCATTTGTGTAGGAGAGAGAGAGAGAGAGAGAGAGAGAGATCTAATTTGAATGTGACGCAAAACCATTTATAAAGCATATGCACAGCTTGCGCCAGCGGGCAGATTCTTCCGGCAAATGATTCTAGTAAATAACAATTTCCAGAAAATAAAAGTATGTTGGTAAATATACTGTATGTAATAGATTTAATTGTCCCATTGGTGTACTGTGTTACAGTGCCTCAGTCGCCCAGGCTTCCACCGCCCTGTGACTTTGACAGCGGTGCACAGTTCTGTGGGTGGTCGCAGGACGAGAGAGAAAGCCAGAAATGGATTCTTAACTCTGGACCAACGCCATCAATACTCTCAGGACCCTACGGAGACGCCAGTTCCAAAGGAAGTGGTACGTACGTCATGATTATCTAAAAGTTTAAAGGGGGCATGATACCCGCTAGAAAATAAATTAATTTTTAGACAATTCAGAAAAATCTTCAAGGAACTGAATATTCACAGTCAAAAAATACATTTACATGTATGTTTACGCGCTTATACCAATATCGCAAAGTCGGTTTTACGCTGTCGACTATTCAAGTTTAGCAAGCTAATAGGTTTAGTGGGGTGTTTTAGTCTAAATGATGCTTGGTGATCAATCTACCTGTGTAATTCACCTGAGCTATACATGTCTGGCTCGTAGCGTGGACTCTCAGTTATTTTTGTTGACTGAAACTAGATTTAGACCGTAAACATACTTGTACTGTACGTGCTTTGACTTAAAACCGTCTAACTTTACTTTTACATTGTCATTATCAAGGTAGGTACATCTACGCTGCAGCATCGTGGTTTTTACATCGAGCCAGGCTGCTTTCTCCGGAAATCACCATCCATCGGCCATCTTTTTTCTGCCTTAGTTTTCACTACCACATGTATAATTGGAATCTTCCGGTTTCGCCGATAGGTGGCTCTGCTGGCGTTAATGGCAATGGGGTATTGATTGTTGGAAGGTATTATATTTACTTGTTCTACACGATTTTTATATGAATAATGACACTCATATAAGTGTTTAGTCACAGATAAACCTTGCAGAGATACGGAAAGATTTTTACAGACCCATGCTCCCCCAAACAGAACTATGTGTACCCTGTGAAATCACCGCATATTACGTACTGCATGAGTGTTACAGGGAAGATACACGTACAGTGTAGTACGTAGATTAATTGATACTGGCGCACCGACTTCAGATTTCCTTATATATCAGTCATTAATTTACTTATTTGTTCACCGTTAACAATTAAACCCTTCCAAATTAAATTTATCATTCAAGTAAAGGACTTGAATTTTAGGATTGAATTTCCATAACATCATGTGCCACAACCCGTCGAGATTGCAACATTTTTTCATTTTTGTATGTGATGGAATTTCAACGTTGAATCTTATTTTCCAAATTTAACGTGAATTGGATGCCAAGGCTACTTTAACTCAACCATTGTGTGGTTTCTAGACATTCAGTTCTGAGGTTGTTACATGTATGTGACCGTCAGGGGTGGATCCAGGATTATTTGAAGGGGTGGTCCGGAACGACAGGCCTCAGATGTGAACCCGACCATCGCCCCCTAGGTTGGGGATCGGAGCCTGCTCAAGGGCCACGAATTTTTTTTTTTGTGTTTTGGAGAGCAAACAGTGCCCTTTGGTACGGTTTAGAACTATGATTTAGCCCGACAAAATTCTAATTCCAAAAGGGGAATATTGATGTGTTACATTTTTCAGAAACCGAAGGGGGGGGGGGGGCAG